GTATTCGCTGTTGATGGTATGAAACTAGGATTGCGTCCTCTCACCATCAAGGTTTGACCACCTTCAAGTTTGTTTATAATTTTCGCTTTTATGTCACTTTTTCCACTTTTGTTTCCAGTGGAAATTATTTAAGTGCAAATCCGGACAGCGCACTCGTCGTCATTACTAGAAAAGGTGAGATTGAAGAATGCGTACTCATTCTTTGTGTAGGCTGCCTGTTTTGCAAAAGACCGCATGCATGTGAGGTTACAGCGTTAAATAAAATGATTTAAATGAAATGAATTTAAACTCGAAATTTTCCATGGCTTTTTCAGGATAATTTGCGTAAATCAGGGTCTTTATTTGATTTTCAGGTTTAGTACCGTTTACCATCTTACTCTTGCAAGATTACATAATTTCGCTGTTTCACAGTTATGTACCAAGCTACGCAGGTACATTGTAATCTTCATTCAGTCGTTCACAACAGTTATTATTGTTTCATGTGCTTCTTGTTAATTCTTTAATTTGATTGTGGTTGATGGTTAGAAGCAGGTTATTTGTAAAAAATCTATCAGCCATTCTGCATTTTACGAAGCTTATCGAAGTAGTTTTCTATATCCTGGTGTGTGACGTTTCCGTCTTTAAATTCTTCCACAGATGGCTTGAGCATGGTTACCCGTTAGGTATTTTCTGTTGATTCCTCAATTATAATCCTACTGTTTGCGCGTAAACAGCGCCAATCAGCATTTACTCTGATGCCATCGACATTTGAACCATCCAGAAATTTTAGCCACGATGGGAACAAAATAAATTGAAAATCGTGGAAATTCATAGGTTTGGCAAAAATTCTGCTGTGCGCTCAGAGAGCTTTTCATCATTCATTGTAACGTACCGAATTAAATCTGGAAAGAGACGGAGCACATCTACGCCATTCACGTAGATTCAGTTTTGTGATCACAGGTCTGCATACTGACGTGCTGATTTGACGTGGTGATCACACCGAAATCAAGAGGTAGAATGGCAAATTGTTGACATTAACAAATGACAAACGCTTTATATTTTGCTCAGAGGAATTTTCTTTAGTATGTTACGTTTTAACTTAATTTTGCGCATCGGCCTTGCCAGAACGTCCCATCCCACTCCATTCTTTAAAAAAAATTATTCGAACCAGCTTGATTTCCGTATCTAGATGGCAAGAGTTACCTTGTTACAGCCATTGGTCGGTTTAACAGGTTGTTTGCGCTTTACATAAACGAATATGTATAATGCATAAGCCTTTGCTTAGAATTTTATTTCAGCTTTCATTATATTTTGCACTTTGTTTTTGTTTTGACCACTAAGCGGTTTCCTTCATTGATTGTGTATCGTTCAGACTCTGATGTGTGGCGACCAGTCTCCCAGGTGGTCCGCTGAAGATATAATGAATTACACGGAACCAAAACTTGGGTACACAAAAGAATCCCGTGGTTTTCTGAATCTGGTCGAGGTATTGTGTGACATGAACGGCGACGAACGCAAGGCGTTTCTTCAGTTTATTACGGGCTGCTCCTCTTTGCCACCCGGTAATATTTTTTTTGTTTTATTGCACGAAATAACTTGTGGTTTGTTCTCTGGTATATTAACAAATACACTAAACGAAGCTCAGTAGTTTCAATAGCTCATAACTACATTGTTGTCTTTTTGGAAGCATCTTCGGCAGCGACTAATCACTTATTAGAACTACACGTGATGAAATAAGCATGCTGGGTTGATATAAACTTCTACGCTTCGTATTCGGTCACCGAATTAAAGATTCAAGAAAGCCTTAGTGTACAACCGCTGCGTCTTCAAATTGAGAAGTCACATCTGCGGTGGTTTTTGGTGTTTTGCGAATGCGTTCACAAAGGAAGGCAGCACGACTGTTGTTTACTCGACTGACTGGCCATAGAGGGTAAAATGTGACTTTTGGTTAATTCTCGACACTGTGCTCCATACTCGGATTATCTTCAGAAATAATAAGACTCCGGCACAGAATTGCGAACTTTGAAAACACTGTCCCGTGCTGTTTCCCGAAAGAATAAGCGACCTTCGAAACTGACTGACAAATCATGCGAAATTTTTTATTTCTACTTATAACGATATTGTTATGATTACAGTTACTGTTCATAGAAATTTAGGTTCAAGAATATTTCTGTTTTTCTCTAATCACTGATAAATTGATGCATCTTATAATTGTAAATATGTATTAGGTTACATGGAGTAATCTTTCACTTCATTAATTTGTAATTCATCAAAGGTCATAAATGATTACTATAGAATGGAAAGGTAGTCAAGATATTGTGGAAATGATATAAATTCCACCCATCAGTTTTGAAACGCGTGAAATAGTTTATTAGTAATTGAAAATTAGGTAAGACATAATCACTTTAAAATATTTTGTTCGTTTAGCTTTAAATCGACCTAAGTTTTTTAAATGAACAAAATTTTCTACTGGATCTATTTGTCTCATAGCCCTGTTAATTCGTTTCTTTAAGGTGGTCTTGCGAATCTTTATCCACGGTTGACGATCGTCAAAAAGGTAGAAGCGACAGACGGCACCTATCCGTCCGTTAACACCTGTGTGCATTATTTAAAACTGCCGGAGTATAGTTCGAAGGAAGTACTTCGTGAGAAGCTGCTGGCGGCGACCGTCGAACGCGGATTCTTCCTCAACTGATCGTTTACGTATTTGGAGGTCATCGCTATCGTTTATCGCTACTATCGTACTGCGCCCGACTTAACAACCATTGATTCACAGTTTAACGTCCTGTACAGTTATGCTGCTTTCCGCTGTGATGTACACCTGACGGATTCTTTTTTCAAATTTTTAGCGCCTGTTGTCGTTTGATCGAAATGAAGTTTGTACATCTGCTTAGTCATTGTAAACTTGGTTGACTGTTATTCAGTGCACATAATCGAATCCAACAAATGTCATTTTTTGTTCACAGGGTACAAGCAGCTTCATGTAAGTTTTTAACAGTTTTTTGCCGTGGTGAACACGATGAAGCAAAAACACGTTTGCCTTTTTAACCAGGCAACAGGCAACTACAAATGATGTGATATTATACTCATATTTAATAGCTCTTAGGAACAACCACAATATTGAGATGCATTTGCTATCGAGATACACTGATCTATATCACAGTCAAGTATCAAACCGTCTTCTTCAACTGTAGCAGATTCAAGGTAAACGTAACTAAGAATTCAAGGCAAACGTTAGATTTCTTGATCACTGCAATGAATTCTTGCATTCCCGTTCAATATTCTATCCATTTCGTTTAAAGCAGTCAATGATGCGTTAAAAGCATTGCGAATGTCTCGATATATGAGATTTTACAGTTTTCACTGACAGTGCCACCAAAACGGCTATTCTATTAATATGCGTAAGTCATGTCCCTGCTGTTCGCAACTATAGAGTTGCTACCCGTATGTCGATCGGCTTTAAAATGCGATATGTAATCACAAAGATCTGATGGCTATGTGCTAGCATTTGTGCAGACTTTGTAAATCAGCATTTCTAAAAGGTGTCCCTAAAACAGAACCTTTGTGCCCCGAACCAGGAAATCTGACATTCTACTCTTATTCACTGCAAACAATGCTAGGTTACAAAGAAAAGTGCTTTCCCTATGGTCCTTCGAAGGCACCTGAGCAATGCGTCTGAATTAGACTTGAATTTATCTCTGAACGAGTCAAAATAGCTTTACTACAGTCAGGGGTAATGTACAAGTTGCAGGAGCGAAAGATTTGAGAATACTACGCGTTATTTCAATTCAGTCTATACAGACGATTTTGGCCACTATTTTGTTGCCTTCCCAAAGCGGCAGCACCTCGTTCTCGTCTATCACTTCCCTTTGTACCATGCCGGTGCCAAGCTCATCGGAAGCACACTGGAAAAAATACCTAAACAGAAGAACTTAGTACTATTAACAATTTAAATTGATAGGCTGCAGCCTCTTCAGGTACTGACCTAAAATTGCCCTTTCTTGGCACCAGTTGCTTGAACTGTTTTAAAGTAATCTGCCTTCCGGAGAATTTTGTAACGTACGGAGTCGATTCGTTCGGAAGAAAGTAACCGACCGATATGTGATCCTGAGTACTGCTCGAACTGGAATTCGAACCGAAGCTTGCCTGAGGGTAGCCGCTCATACCGCCTCCGTACGCGGCTATGCTTTTCGAACTACACGCTTTCCTCCTGCAAGGTTTTGTCATAATATCATATCCATAAACGAGCAGAACAATATTTACTGGTTAGCCATAGCCGCTAACTGATCAGGAAGATACACGCTTTTGTGAAGTTTACCGGCGGACTTGTCGAAAAACATTTTGTGCGACGTTTCTGACGAAGACATGTTTTTGTGGTAACTAAAATCAGACCTTATTAATCATCCTTGTTGACAACCTCGACTTCCTCGAGTACGTACCCAGATTTGTGTGCTCTGCCGTTGTTGGAAGAGGAACTGGAGGGCATGGAGGACTGCGCCATTCTCTGCTTGTGTAGTTTGATGTTCTCCTCGTAATCGCCGCTCAGGTGAACCGCCGACAGCCGCTCATCCAAGATCCACTGCTCAGACGACCTACGACGTAAAATGTCCATTACATACGGCATCACGCATATGCAACGTTTCTGACGTATACCGATTTATACCGACGGACGTCGCAGATAACTTCGCATTGACGAGGCTCGGGTCACTCGAAGTTCCGCTAGATATGCCACTGGTATCCGATGTAGTGCCCGGACAGCGATTAAAGAACTGTCTAAAGCACAGGAAACAGTGACTTCATCTATTCGAGAAAACAAGTAAATAGCTAGGTTCAACAAATACTTGGCGACTTTCGACGGGCCGGCCCCGGCCGTTCGTTGCATAGCCGTCGGATCGATTCTGGACCGATGAGAACTTGGCAGCGTGTTGTGCGGAACGCCGCCGCGGTGCTTCCCGGTCGAGTGACCGGTGGGCGGCAGAGTAACGTTCAGGCCGGAGTGGTCCGGTGCTGCCGCAGCAGCAACAGCAACGGCGGACATACTCTTCAAAGAGACAGTCGGTACTGCCTGGATCATTGCTTGATACGGCAGCGGATAGGAAGGGCTCACCCAGCGATTGAGCCCTCGACGTTCCGGTGATTTCGATACTGAAACAAGCGCAGGAATTAGACTCGTTTGGCTGAATACCATAGCTGTGAAAATAAAAGGCATACCAGGCGATTTGCGGCGCGAACCCAGCACGCAGCCTGGCGATCGCAAAGGTGACTGTCGAGGAGAGTCCTTCCAGCCGACCCGCGAATAATAGTCGTCCAGGATTGCTTCGGCGTCCTCAGGCGGAGCGCGGAAACTCCTCTCTACTTTGCAAAACTTTTCGACGGCTGCTCGATGACTGTTCGAGTTGTTCTCCGGCTCCGAAAGCCGCTTCAGCGACTCTTTCAGCTTCTCGTCCCTCTCTTGTTCGCGACGCAGGTACTCCAGCTTCTCGAATACCTGGTTTTTGAAGTTTTCGTCCATCATGTCCCGAGCGACCACTTCTCTCTGCGTACGCTAAATACAAAACCGACGTGACAAACGAGTTGAAACGTCGTGCGCGTGCCCCAAACAGCTTACCGGTATGAAAACCTGGTTCGTCACCACGTCTTTGTTCTGTTCCGTATGCTGCCGCATTATCCTTCGGTCTTTGTGACGATATCTGCTGTTGCTGCTAGAAATGCAGTAATTTATTACGCCAAATTATCTCTAGACTGATGGTCATAATTTAACGCAAAACTCCTCCAAGACCAAACTTCATGAAGCATTGAACCTCCCCTTAGCTGTCTAAGATACCATTTAAGTAAGTCACTAGTGGTGAAGAGGAGGTGTACATGCCAAGAAATGTGATCTGGAGAAGTTAACGCGTTATTTGTCATACTCTGGCAAAAGAGCATACTTTGATGTTTATGGTCATAATTTACTAATTTAATAGCTCATCAATCAGTCTAATAGGTCAGATGCGCTTCAGTTCAATACAAATAGAAAAAACGGCGAAAAATAGTTGGTAACCATTGGAACACGCAACAAGACTCTGCTCTACCTAGAAGTCGTGAAAGTGAATCCTTCTCTACTCTGACTCATCGCTTCTGTACATGTCTACTTCAGAAAATTAGCTTGTCAAATTCCCTCACGCAATCCTTCATCAGTTTTCTTTTCACTTTTGTCATAAATTTTCAGGATCATGGTTTCCATTTTTTGTACAACAGAAAAAAGTGTATCAGTGTTTATAGCCATTGTACTGCTGAAAACATGTACAGTTAGCAAGACCTACAATCATCATAAATCATCGATAAAAAAATTACAAAAATAAGTTTTTAGAAACTAATTATTTAGCTGGCATTCCATTGCATGCATCTTTTAATAGCGTCTTTTAATTGCGTCTTTTATTAGCGTCAAACACTCACATGCTGTTTTCCGTGGCCGCATCACTGGACATCGATTGAAGCTCGGAATCCTGGGCACTGGTCGGTAGATACGGTACGTACTGCGTATGATACGGGTTTGGCGGTACGCCGGACCTGAAACGGTGGATCTGTGAAAGCAGAAATAGTTAAACAAGGCCATACTGCCGACGACACCTGTTCGATCGTTTGGCGGTGTACGCCATTCGCTGTTCCAAGGTGGCCACCAAAGCGCCAGCGGTCAGTCGGCCCGGCAGCGACTGAGGAGCAACGGATGTGGCGGCGGTGGAGGAAGAGGCGGAGGACGACTTCTTGCCGACGCTCTTGGCCGTCACTGCTGAAGAGGACACGTCAGATGCGGAGGAAGTGACCGCAACTGTGGCAGCGGCAACTGACGACGGTTCTTTGGTGGCTATCTTATCCTTAGTGGAGTCCTTGGTCTTAGGCGGTGCCGCGTCGTCAGACATCCGGTGATTACCACTGTCAAACAACGTTCCTTCATTACCGCAAACGCTGCGTTCCTGATCCGGCTCAACATCCGGTTCTTCTTGTACAGTTGGCAGCAGCGTAGAAGACGGTCGCTGGGCGTCGCCGCTGTTACTAGAACTGTTCGAGTTCGACTCGTTCGAGTAGCACTTCGGACTGTCCCAGCCGCCGGCCTGCACAGACTGTAGGTACGATATGTACAATTCGGACTCGACGAACGCGGCATGCTTGATACGGAGAAACGCTTCGACCTCCTGTTGCGCCTTGTCGAACATGTTCTGTGAGATGTCCTTATTGACGAAGCGACCGTGGCACTCGATGCGCGTCTCGCTCTGCAAGCAGCAAACACAGCATTCGCCCTGAGATCTGACGTAGTTCTGATAGATGATCTGCACCAGTCGTTCGATTAGGTTTTGCTCCTTTGGAGAATACTGCTTCAATCCCTTGCACGCATACCAGAAATCCAGTTCATTAGCGGCGCCTTCGCTGAGCAGAAACTTCTTGAACAGCTGAAGACCTGGAAAACAGTCAATGACACGAATGCAGGTATTTGACACTGCAGGACGCCATCATCTTTTAGATTAAGGTACTGCGCAACAAGACGTTTTTTTTGTCGTTTTCTACCGTTATCATTACTGTTGAATCGTTGATGTCCAGGCTACATCTAACGTAAATTTGGCGAAGCGAAGTCGCTGAACTTTTGCCAAGCGTCGCTGACTCGATAGCAGCTCCCTTTGGTCCTGCTACCTTAATTCGTTTGGTCTCACCGTTTAAACAAAGCAAAAT